CTATAGGAAAAACAATTTTGTACATCAAAAAAATTTCATTGCCGAAGGTCTTTAATTCCTTGCCCATTTCATTGTGCAACGAAATCAAATTCGTCATAAGGTTGTTGCCTAAGTATCATGGTCCACTTTATGTGACAAACCAAATTAGTTTGTTGCCCATAGCAATACTTGTGCATCACTGGCTCTCGTTGCCTATAGATATACTTTGTACAATGAACTTTTATTAATTGTAGCCCCAAATACTTTTGTGTGTTGCAATTCTATGTGGCACATATATCCCTACTGCAACAATATATTATCAATTGTAGCCCATGATATTATTGTGTGTTGTAATTTTTGTTGCACATGAGTCTTTTCACTCTTTTGTTGCCTATATAGTTTTAGGTACATTTGAATTATATGTGTTGCTAATGTAGTTATAACGCTGGATTCCCCCATCTGTATACTATACACACACAAACGCATACATGCTGCATCGTTTGGAACTCAAAACTGTGAAAGAAAATTATAACTTTTATATACACTTGTAAAATTGATACAACTTGTGTTCATAGGCAATCCCATGAAACTGATCAAAACATAACAATGTAAAGGTTTGCTAATAAAATAACTGCACTTCAATGTAGACTTCTATGTTTACTAACATCACATCACAGAATTATTAATAAAATATTTAGCCCATGTTTCATGAATCTCATTGATCTGCACTTGAGTGTGTACAGATAAGGACACAACCACCTGAAATTTATAACATTTGGTATTGTTAAGGGCAAAGTAGAGAAATGATGAGAAAGCTCCACCAGTGCGAAAATTGTATCATATCAGTGTAATGATTGTTTGTGTGTTACATTTAAACATCATTGTAGTTTATAAATTATATTTACATCTTTAATAAAGTTTATATTTACATTTAAATATCATTGTTGCTTATTGTACACCCTTTTTGTATTCACCAGTACACACCTTTGTGAATAGGCTATTCCGCAGACAAAACATGTTTTGTCGTCTTTGAACAGACTATACACATACATAAAATACCTATTCGCAAATGTGTGTTGTTGAGCACAAAAAAAGTGTGTACAAACGGATTTTTCCTTTTAATACTCTGTATATGCAATGCCAAATCATACGAGTTTTTTAAATTGTGTATTTCACATGCATATTTGTGTGAAACATATTGAAATAAGAAAAAAGTCAGATAAATTTGAATTCCAAAAACAAAGAAATTTTTTATGTACAACACTTGCATTTTCTGGTATTTTCATACGGAGTTAAAATCAGATAAAAGCATACTCTCCCTTTCTAAACTAACCCAGTATCGGACTATGTGTTGGCCACACTAGTGCAATTGGGAGGGAAGAAAAGGACATGTTACAAAGCATTTTCCAAAATTTAATGCTTCGTATGTGATTACAGCACAAAAGGCAACAATGCTCAGCTTAAATACCATGGCTGTCAATCCTTTTATAAGAATGAGAGCCCTTTCGAGTCACTCCTTTTGCCCAATTACCTTTATCAAATCCTTTCAACAACAAAAAATATACATATATTCAATCTTTAACTAAGATTTGGATACTGCTTTTATAATCTTTAACTAAGTTTGTACTCATATAATTCAATATCAAAATTTGATAGTGAAAGCTTAAGTCTTAAACTATATGCAGCCTTATCATGGGACTATTCCTCGAACCCTCACCTTGAGGATGCCCTTTTAATAATGTTACTTTCTCAATTCTTGATATTAATGAGAACGAGATAGAGTTAATTTTAATTGGCATTTGTCAAGTTAGAGTAATGTCCATTATCCAGGATTGGAAAGGATCGGATCCTCTTTTTACAATGGGTAACCTCACAATGAAATAAATACAGATTCCAAATAAATTAAAAGCTACTAAGATGAGCCAAGCATGCGGCAGGCCTTATCAACATCAAATTCAGAACTAAAAGAAAATATTGGACAAAAATGTATGAAAAAGTCATTCCTTTTATTAATTATTTTATAATCAACTCACCCAAAATACTAATATTTACATCTCAGCTTACTCTTATGGAAAGAGAAGCAACAACCCATCCCTCCTTCCACATAACTATAATGATGAGTATAATTATCCATTCATTCTATTTCTCCCAAGCTAGCTACTTGTACAAAGAAACCCCAAGCTCAGCCAGCCAATCCTTCAATGAATGAGTTGAAGAATAAACTACCTTGCTTCTCAACATCTATCCTCATAATCAATGTACAAAGACTAACATACCATTTGTACAACAAACATTGGCATGTACAGGATCTGCTTATTCTCTTCACTAACTACCTATAACTCTGCTTCTTCCATTTCCATAAATAAATCCCCCCTTCTCCTCGGCCAATTGTCGCTCCCGTTCGTCGCGAAGAGCTCAACTGATAAATCCGCCAGCTTTTTACACTACAAATTACGTCAACCTGCTCCAAAAATTCATGTATTTTTAGTACTTACTTTGTTGTCTAAGTGATGATAAGAGCAGAACTACTGACTAAGGTAGTGTTTGCAACAGCTTCTACTTAAAAAACACTTTTGGAGTGATTTGAAAAAAGTGATGAGTAGTAAAAGTTGATAGTGTTTGACAAAAAAGTGATTTTGAAAAGTAAAAGTTGGTAGTGTTTGGTAAAATAAATGTTTTTTGTGTAATAGAAAAGGGAAAATCACTTTTCACACGAAAGCCCGAGAAAAGTGAAAATTTGGTAGTGTTTGTCAAATAAGTGCTTTTTAAGCCAAAAGCCAAGAAGTGCTTTTTTAAACTGTTGCAAACCAACCCTAACTTAGCTAGGAAGGAGCTATGCAAGGCTCATGCAGTCCGTCAAGTCCTATTCTATTTTAATAAATTGTTTTACGTTTACATCTTTAATAAAGTTTATACTCCCTCCGGTTTTGAATCATCTTTACACTTTCCTTTTAGAGTTGTCCCAGAATCATCTTTACACTTCCTTATTTGTCTTATTTGGCAAACAAATCTACACAAAACAGTGTCAAACAATGTCAAACAGTGTCACACAGTGTCAAAAAGTATACTCTACAGTAAAGTCAAATTTATTTCCTTAAAAACTGTGAAGTCAAAGTGTAAAGATGATTCAAAACCAGAGGGAGTATGTTACATTCAAATATATATAGTGCCAAAACACACGATAATTGAAATTGTCCTATTGACGTTAGAAAGTGTTAAGGGATGAGGTGTCATATATCCTTCTTTTTGGGCAATTGAAACTGTGTATTTCACATGCATAATTGTGTTAAATGTATTGAAAAAATAAAAAATTGTAAAATTGTGAAATGAATTGCAAAAACAAAGAAAGTTTTATGTGCAACACTTGCATTTTCTGACATTTTTCATACGGAGTATTAAAATTAGATAAAAGCATACTTCCACTTTCTAAACTAAGGGTTGGTTTGCAACTGCTTTTAAAAAAGCACTTCTCAGCTTCTGACTTTTAAAAAGCACTTATTTTCCCAAACACTACAACTTTTATTTTTCTCGGCTTCCGCGTCAAAAGTGCTTTTACTTTTTCTATTACACAAAAGCACTTATTTTACCAAACACTACCCACTTTTACTTTTCAAAATCATTTTTTTCTCAAACACTATCAATTTTTATTTAATCACTTCTCCCCATTTCATTTAAAAAAGCACTTTTTTAAAAGCAGAAGCTGTTGCAAACAGACCCTAAGTTAACTAACCCACTACTACAATTGGGGAGTAAAAAGGACATGTCACGAAGCATTTTTCCAAAATTTAATGTTCAGCTACTATTGATTGTCAATCATACTATAATAAGAATCAGAGCCCTTTCCAGTTACTCCTTTTGCTCAATTACCTTTAGAAAAATGTTATTTGTACACGTTTACTTACTACAAACGTGTACATGAAGCTTGGTTGCTTGTTATGCGTTTATTGTACACTATAAATGTGCACAATAATCGTTTTATAGTGTACAATAATCGCACGAAGCATGGTTGCTTCCTTTATTGAAACTTTAACTAGCATAAGGATGTTGTGTTTATAATCTTTAACTCAGTTTGTAATAATATAATTCAATATCAAAATCTGATAGGATAAGCTTAACCTTTATACGCCCTTATCGTGGAATCACTCCCCAAACCCTCAAAGAATGCCCTTTTAATAATGTTGATTTCTCATTTCTTAATATCAATAATGAGATTAGAGGTAATTTCCACTGTCAGAGTTAGGGTGGTGTCCAATTATCCAGTATTGGAAAGGATCGGATCCTCTTTTTACAATGGGTAGCCTCATAATGATATTAGTACAGATTCCAAATTAATTAAAGGCTACTAAGATGAGCCAAGCATGCGGCAGACCTTATCAACATCAAATTCAGAAATAAAAGAAAATATTGGAGAAAAAGGTATGAAAAAGCCATTCCTTTAATTAATTATATCATCGTCAACACACCCAAAATACTACGGAGTAATATTTACATCTCAGCCTTCTCTTATGGAAAGAGAATAAGCAACAATCCATCCCTCCTTCCACATAACTATAATGAGGAGTATAATATTCCATTCATTCTATTTCTCCCAAGCTAGCTACTTGTACAAGCAAACCCCAAGCTGAGCTACCCCAATCCTTCAATGAATGAATTGAAGAATAAACTACTTGCTTCTCAACATCTATCCTCATAATTAATGTACAAAAACTAACATACCATTTGTACAACAAACATTGGCATGTACAGGAACTGCTTATTCTCTTCACTAACTACCTATAACTCTGCTTCTTCCATTTCCATAAATAAATCCCCTCTTCTCCTCGGCCAATTGTCGTCCCCGTTCGTCGCGAAGAGCTCAACTGATAAATCCGCCAGCTTTTTCCCGTTTAACCGAGATTTCGGTACCCTAAATTGCCTCAAAGGCGCATTTGGGGCTTCAACTTCATCCACCACATCACTCCATTTTGATTTCCCAGTGCAGTTTCTGTTCTTGAAGCCAACAGTTTTCCTAGGGGTGCTATACTCGAAATGCCACTTCTTAGCAACCAAGGTCTGTTTGTCATCACAATTTCAAAACCATTAAAACAAAAACGTGGAGAATACACTAAAAACAGTCACAGGAAAGGATTCAGTAGTTTCCAAATTCCAAACATAGACACACTTACCGCTTCTCGGATTCCCTTGGACACATGAAACAGTCTCTTCAAATCATCATGTTCCACCCCACAAACTATTCTGATCTGCAATTGCATTTCATTTCACAGAATTAAACTCAACTAACTTGTGCTAGATGCATAGAAATGAAGCATATAATACACATAGACAACTAAAATTGAGATCTGAAGATATGTACCAGAACATCCTGAGGCAAAGCATCAAGAACAGACTTTTGACAAGCAGGAAATGAAACCTCGGAACAATGTCTCTTTGGAGGGGAGGAGTCGGTGGTGGAAATGAAAGCTCCATTATGGTCATCTTCTTCCATTATAGCAGCAGCAATTGGCAAGGCAACTCTTTTCCTCCCAAACGAGCGGCTCCTCACCAACCCTAACCCCAACCCCTCACCCTTCTTCCACCTAGCCATTGCTGTGTACACCTTCCTTTCAGAAAGCCCCAAAAATCAGATTTTTTTCACTACCCAAACAGCCAACAAACCCAATCTTGCGGCCAGAGAGCCAAAAAATCTAAAAAGAATCCAAATTTATCTCCCAGAGAAGGAAAGAATTGAGAACCCTAATTTTATGGGAAGAAATAAATAGAGATTGGGTAACTGGTCTGAGTAAAGAAGGAGACTGGAGAAGAAAGTGGTTGTGTCTAGCTCCGTTTGCTCCTAAGAATGAGAACCGTCTTCCAAGATTGGACTATCTTCGCTTTGCGGAAGAGTCTGCATTTTTTCAGTATATATAGAGGGAGCCTCGGAATTATCAAAATTCACCTTATTTTCCCCATTTTGGTTCTTTTTTAAACGATAAATAACAAATTGAATGAAGAGTTCTACTTGTACAGTAGTTTCTTTACGCTTCTAGTAGGACCCCCACGACTCACGAGTAACTGCGCTGGAACCGCGTCTCGTAACAATGATAATTAATTTTTATACGGCAGTTTCTCTGATTTTAAAACGCAGAGGCAAAAAATGGCAAATAAATTGAGACTAAAATTCATAAAATTATACTTTGAAGTCCAAATATTGTAGGACGTGTTAAATAGATTTTGGGCTTGTTTGGTTTGATTTTTATAAGAGAATGATGATGGGCAAAAAGCCAAAAAATGTTACGTAGTACTTATTATTTTCATTGTCTACACTCAAATGATAAGTAATTAGTTATGATTATCGTCAATTTAAGTAATAATAATTGTTATACTACAGATTAAAGTCAAGTGACACTTAAATGATTTGAAATAATCAAGATAGAAATTTTAATTTGATATGTAATTTGGTATTTTAATAAAGCAAAATGATGTTAAGACAATGGAAACTAACATTTATTTGACAAAATATAATCTTTGATCGGAAAATCATTTAACTGCCTTCCCAGTTGAATTTTTAGCTGAAATTTGGTATGAGTAAACTAGACTTAATGAAGAAGATGCTCAAAAAATTTCATCAAAAAATTCCACCGGGAACCACCTCAATTAGCGACGGCCAGACAGAACCTCCTATATAAGGGCTAATTGAACACTTTAAATCAGTTCAAGGGCCTATTTGACCCTTTAGTCTATATTGAATCAAAACGAACCAAAACAATAACAATATCCCAAGAACTAAATCCTCCTCTGTCCATCCGAAATCAAAGCTCATCGGCTCAATCATGTTATGACCAGACATAGAATAGTCCACCCCAGAAACAGCGAAACTAATCGCTGAAACAGTGAGAGCATAGAGGCTATTAGTGGTTGTATCAGCCTCATTGCCTCCAACCAGTAATCTACCAACTAAATCAAAACAAAACACCCACCTACCCCACTTATTGTTTGTCATAGTAGGAACAAAAAAGAAATGATAAAACTGTTTGGATTGAAAATAAAAAACTAGAAGGGGGTGTTCAGGAGGTGGCTGTTCAGAAGGGGGACGGATTTTCGTCATTTCATGTTCTACGCACATGAGTAAGGATAAAATGTGCTGTAAAAGATTAGTGTTGGTTTGTAAGGACAATACTAAGTCTGTAGAGTATGTAGGAGTAAACTACCTTGGACCCAGCGAGGTCAAGGTATTACAATTTACAAGTGGTAGCAGAGAACTCTAGTTATGGTGTGTTTATCCGATAAAATGTTTGATTTAAAACGCCCATTTTTCATTCATCGCCAGATGATTCAAATAGTATCATACAATAAACATATTTTGATTTTTGTACATGAGTGACGGGATTAGTGTTGTAGAACGTTTTTGCTAATTTAATTGTTAATACATGTTTTAAACGTAATTAGATGTTTGTTAGGCATTTCCCCAGCTCAATTGACCGATGGAACTTTTAACTCCCACAATGAAGATGAGGAAGTTGAGTTGTCCTACAGTGTCATTATTCAACAATTATTATGTGGTAATCAACAGTTACGTAGTAATCAACAATTACGTGATAATGATACCAAGTGTGTCAGTCGGGTACTCAAAGCATACAAACGCGTGGGAGAAAAAGGAATCGTGCGCTCAATCCTGATTTTGGTTGTATGCCGATAAGAATAAGCTAGTCTAATTCAAAAGAACTTTGAAGATTTGGCAAATGATGCACATGAGTAAGGACAAAGTGCATGATAAAAAGTTGGTGTTGGTTTGTAAGGACGGTACTAAGTCTGTAGAGTATGTAGGGGTAACTACCTTGGACCCAGCGGGGTCGAGAATTTTGGGGATTGATTTAGATTGTCTTATCGGTACAACGAGAACGTTGCATTTCTATGTGAGGGTGATTGTTATACTCGAGATTGATTTATAATGAGTAACAATACTACTCATATCAACATGGTGCATCTCCTTTTAAGATACTCATATGCTAAGAACTTCAAATTAAGTGTGCTTGCACAAAATAGTCTTAAGAGTTAAGATAAGTGGCCTCATAAAAAGTCTCTCAGGACGCGTACATGTTAGTTTGTAAGGATAGTGTTATGTCTCGAGAGTACCTGGTACTTGGTCTGAAAAAGTATGTAGGAGTAACTACCTTGGACCCTGCTAGATCAAGTGTTATAGAAACAATATAAAAAGATATAAATTAAATTCGACTACCTCCGGTTTTTATTAAACTTCACACAAAATAAGGAAAGAAATTTGACTTTACTGTTGAGGCACTGTTAGACACTGTTTGGCACTGTTGAGACACTGTTTGGTAATGTTGAGACACTGTTTGGCACTGTTTGGCACTGTTTTGATGTAGATTTCTTTGCCAAAAAAGGAAATAAGGAAGTGTGAAGTTTATTTTAGACCGCCCCGAAAAGGAAAGTGTGAAGTTTAATAAAAACCGGAGGGAGTAATATTTTTTTTAAAAAATGATGTACATATAGGAGAAATTTCCCTCAATAGGGGTAAGAACGTTTTAAAATTTTAAAATCGGACTTTCATGTTCTTATTACCGAGACTGGAGTAATTACTACCATGTTTTAGTGGTACCAGACTTTAAACATGGCATTATTTTTCAAATTTGAAATTAATTACTCTTATTTTAAAAATAAAAACATGACAAACTTATTTTGAAATTCCAAAACATTTTTACTCCTGTTTCGGGAAGATTTTTTCTCTCAAAATTTTAGTCCACACATTTTTTCTAATCTGTGGTCAACATATTTGAATCTATGTTTAGCAAAGTATAAAATTATGAAATACTTATTCCATCACCTTCTTCATTGTACATATAGGGCTCTTTTAAGGGTTGATGCCCTTTGGATTAATTAATTAATTAAGCTTAAGGTAGACCTCTGTTTCCTTTTGTTAGTGGGTGGTTAAAACTTAAAATGCTAATTAAACCTTTCGTTTGATATGTTTTGCACCCAAAAATAGGTTAATTAGTACTCCCTCTGTCCCATTAACAATGGGACAAGAGGGAGTGACACACAAATTATTAAAAAGAGGTTTATGTGATTGATATTTAATTGATAAAGTAATAATAAAGTAAGAGTGATTTAGAGCCACAGAAACTTTATCGAATTTGGTATGAGACAATCTTAGTAGAACGGACAGACCAAAAAGGTAAAATGGGACAATTTTAGCGGGACGGAGGTAGTATCATATTTGTACTTTTGTACACACATACATGCTAATTTGCCCTTTAACCCGTATTTTACAATGTGTCCATATATAACCCGATTGCCTGACCTTCATATTTACTTCTCAATTCAAACTTGCGATCATTTTATATCATTGAAAGTTTGAAACACTTAATAGAATTGGTATAATATAGTTTAGCTTACTTTGGCCTCGCTTTGGTCTTTTGATTTAGATTTCAATCCTAAACTCCATTAATTATCCCCTTATCAGTTTTAGAGAAAGTTTCCCGTATATGAGAAAACATGTTTTAGAATTTTAAAAAAAGTGTTATCTTTTTCTTCCCACAATAAGAATGACATCAGAATATTTATTGTCATCTTATAGTCACTACTCTTAAATAGTTGCAGTATTACTCTATTAGACATTGAACATGATATATATCATTCATCAATGGCAATATTTTTAAATTATGATCATCTCTTATTTCACCAAGAAAAATATAACACTCTCATTTTAAGAGGCCGTTTGGCAACACTGTTTTTCGGCTTATCAGGCTTATTAGTCATTTTTTCACCAAACACGTAATTTTTGCTTTCGCGCTCTGAATTGTGTAATAAGCAGAAAAAGTAAGGTTGAAATTACTTTTCTGGCTGTATTGGCTGAATTTACTGTAGATGATCATTTTAACTATTTTTACATATAACTTTTTTTTATTTTATTAATAAAATATATTTTAAAAACATTTTTTTCTTAAATCAGCAGAATCAGCCAATGTAACCACTTCAGCTAGAATTTCATAAATTTCACCAGAATTAACCAAATCAGCCGATTCTCCGGCTACCAAACGGCCTCTAAATTTCAAAACCTATTTACTCTCATTTGGGTCAATTTCTCTTTACAATTTGAACATTCCCATGGACTTTGCACCCCATTTTAAAAAACATTTGACTTTGCACCCTATCATCTAAAATTTGTAAAGGAAAATTTCAAAATAGGGTGCAAAGTCAAAGAAATTTGAAGTGAAATGGGGTGCAAAATCAAAGTTTTTTTTTAAATGGGATGCAAAGTCCAATTTCATCCCAAATTTTTAAATGGGGTGCAAAATCAAATTCCCCCTATTTGGAATTCGAGCTCGGATAAAAATACAAAATCAATCCATGGAGTATTCCGTATTCGCTAGGAATATGTTTTCTATATTTTGATTCCGCAAATTACTACGTAGTACTATTTCCGAGAAACAACTGGAACTTTCCGGCGGCAGCTAGGTTGGGTAGTAGGTCGGTAGCAGAATTGAACTAGCCGTTTTGGGGGGACACATGGCGTAAAACGAGTGGACGGAAATAGTGACAGTTGGTCGGTGGAAGTGCTGCAACTGGTTGTCTATAAGCTTAGCTATTCATAATAACTAACCGTGTGAAAGACACACAAAAAAAACGTGTTTTCCTTTAGCTTAAAAAACATTTACACACAAAATGTTTCGTTTGATACAAATGTTTTATTTTAATTAGATTGGTTCAATTTGAGAGTAGATCAAACCAAAACTATGTTGCACGGAAACGTGAATTTCACGAGGAAACGAGAAACGAGAAACTTCAACTTTTATTCAAAAACGCTTGTTTGGAGAGTTTCCATAAAGTTTGTGAAACGGAAACGTACTCTTTCCCGAGAATTTCCATGCTACATAGAACCAAACTACACATTTCTTTAGCAGATTAGACTCCATCAGATCAACTTCAACAATAGTAAAATACGCATAACACTAACATTTATC